TATATATATATATATATATATCTATTTCATTAATTGGATTTTGTGGAACATATGTATTCTGTTAATTTTAGCATATTTACGAGATAGCCGCGATATAGTATATTTTGAATAGTCTTTGAAAAATCTTTTAATAAGATTGTTAAGCAAGCAAAGAGATCAAACCGAAAGCGATTTGATAAATTCGTCAAATTTAGCTCGTTTGATCACATTTGCATTTTGATGCTTTTAAAGAGTTTAGTCTAGGCATTGTCGTAGGCCTAATCGTTTATATGCTGTGATTGTATATACAGGCATATTTGAAATAAAACATTCTATGAATATATATAATTTCGATGATTTACATATCCAGCTATAGACTTCTATATCTAGACCTTAGACTGCTGACTGCCATATAACAGAAAGAAATAAACATATTTATGTGATAGAAAGAAAAAAACAATTTAAAATTTAGGATCAAATTTCGAGTTGTTCTTGTTTTTTAGTTCATATATACATGTATCATATGCGTTCTATTAGTAAGTATATGATATTATGGATGCCTTTCATATGAAAACGCAAATCGACACAAGCATCGATCATTCCATTCATGATGAAAGAAATTGATCAGATGTGATCGTTCTCGAAATGATTTTGTACGATTCTGCGCGGATTTCAAATACAACCTTTAAACATTTATACTGCAATAATTTTGAAATGACAGCTCACAAGACCAAATAAGTACTCATGAAACAAAAATAAGTAAAATAATAATAACATATAACACCTAATTTAGATAATTATAGCTACTTGGCAATACACCTGAGTTCCTTACACCATGATTCCATCTTTCTTGACATTCAGTAAGTAATAAAAATAGAACGATACTTGTGTTGACTTGTGCCACCAAATAGAAATCACCCAATATTGTCCGTAATACTGTCTGTGTGATTTATATATGAAAGTACGTGAATTTGAACATAGAATTCACCGTCTTGCTGCTCTCAAACATGACGATAAAATTAGTAATTCAGATACAGAAGTCTGTATATCCATCATTACGTATGTACATCAAACTGATTTTAATATGATGTAAAATTATGTTGAGGCAGATCAATGCTGATATCTGCTAGAACAAACGATACCGCTGCGAATAAGGCTGTATTCATATCCAGAGCTTTCGGATTTTCTGCCAACATGGTATCCGCATTTGTATGGTGATAATAAAAATATTTTTCATTTCGATTCAAAAGAGCACCACCTGGTACGCCAGCTTTAATCCAAAACGATATATCAGGAGCTGTGCATGGACTTTTCAATTTCAAGTCACCCAATGGAGCTAACAATCTAGGAACATAAAAGTGTTTATGCTTATTCTAAATATAATAAACATTATTATAAAAATAATAAATTTTTATTTAAATTTAAATTTAAAAATTGTGTTATAAAAACAATAAACGTTTTTTAAACTTAAATTTTTTTAATGTAAATAACAAATAAAAAAATTAATATTTTAATTGCAGCAATACATATAAATAGAAAACAAAATATTATAAAATATTATAAATCTATAAAGGAACTAACCGCATTATTCTTTGAAGTATACATTTGGTCATTTCGTTTCCTGAAACTTCGAGACCTGTAGGTGTGAAAGTGCCGAAATCAGATTCCATTACGAATTGCATATTTCCATTCTCTGCAGCGTGATTTCGTATATATTGTTCCGCTCCGATAAGACCAAGTTCCTCAGCAGTCCACATTATCATTCTATATATAACATTATATATAATATATAATATAAATTGTAAATTCTAAATATAATTAAATAATTTATTGTATAACAAGACACTTATTGAGAGTATATATGTATAATTAATCTTATATCAATGACCAATTAAGTTAAATATTTCGAAATATTATAAATCACCTTATCGTTCTTCGCGCCTGGATGCCGAGACGTTTCAATAATTTTAATGCGTTCCAGGATATGAAAATGCCACCTCCATCATCCAGTGCGCCAATTCCAACGTCCCAACTATCTATATGTCCAGAAACAACGACTGCCTTTTCAGGCATGCTAGTACCAGTGATATCTGCTATAACGTTTCGCGATTGAGTATCGGGATATCTCTTCGCTTCCATTTTTAAGTTTATCACTATCGTTTCACCTAAATAAATATAATACCATCAGTTATTTGGCTAGCAAAGATCTTAAGAAATGTTTCTATTTACCACGATCCGCCATCCTCCCCAGAAGAGTCGCGTCTTCAACAGTTATACAAGCAGCTGGGATTTTAGTAACGTTTTCTGCGTAATTCATCATACCCGTGTGCGGGGTGTACAATGAAAATGGCGTAACTGATCTGATTAAAGCAGCTACAGCTCCTAATTCTGCCGCTCTTACAGCTCCCAAGCTTCTATATTCCACGGTCTCTCCGTACGAGATAAACTTTTGATTGTACACGACTATTTTTCCGGGAATCTGATACATTTAAAAATTACTTTATTATTAGACACAAACGTCTTGATCTTTTATTCATTAAATTTACCTCTTCTGCCCTTTTCTTGAGTTCTGCGAAACTATTCACTACAACAGCGTTAGCAGTTATGCCTTCTTTCGGAGTACCAATACTATAACCCAATCCCAACAATGCCAAACTTTTCTGCCATGGTTGCAAAAGAGTTGCAGATTCCGAACCTCTGAATATTTATTATCATAATCATCGCGTTTGTTTTTTATTTGAGAATTATTTAATTTTAATTTACGTTTACAAATTATACCTGACCCAGCGTGGTACGGTGGCTGGTTCACCATGAACATTATCTAAACCTAAACTGATCGACTTGTTTAATACATAATCAATAGCATCTTCAAGAACTTGGGTACCGGTAAATCTCGGACCAAACTCGTCAACGAACGTCGCTAAATCTTGCCATGTGGCCCCTTTGAATGAACCTTGCATACTTTCATTAATTATTCTCTGCACTGTTGGCGCATAGGAGTCTATCTCTTCAATTAAGTTATTTGGCAGATAACAAGTACTCTGGTCATGTGCCGTTATCATAGACTGGACGCACAGCAACCACACAAAGATAATTCCTTCTGCGTTATACCACATTATCGTTAAATACGGTTTCCTGACATTAATATAAATGTATATTATCATTACAGAAATTACACTAAAAACGTTAAATAATGCACGTGAGTGAAAAATGCTATATTTGGTCAAAGCTGTTCTTTGTGCCTGACAATATACTGAATTTATACAATTTTCAATTCAAGCAAACTGATTCGATTATTTGTTTGTCTTGACCTGGAAATTGTATAAATTCATAAAAAATATTAGATACAAAAAGTCGCCTTGACCGAAAATGAAATTTTTCACTCAAATCTGTTTATCTCATTTATTAATTCTCACTTAATATTATTGGTAATTTTATCTATCAATTTTGACTTAATATTGTTTAAATATTGCAATCTATTGCAACATTAATTTGTCAAATATGATATCTGATTACGATAATGATAAATGCATAGTGAGACATAAACATATGGTTGTATTAATATAATATTTAGCACAAGATAATTAATTTAATAAATTTATATTAGAAATCATAATAGAAATATAAGAATAAAATCATTACATAGAATTAATTAATGACAATAACCGTGTAATAAAATCTTCGGTTGTTGTGTAGGGGAGATTAAAGTCAAAAGTAACACGGCTAAGTCATAACTTACATAAAAACAATAATATAAGAACAAGATACAAAAGCAATAATATAGAATAATCAATCAAATACGAGAAAATTTAGGTCATAATATATTTAAAAAAGCATTTAATAATCTAATAAAATCGTATACATACATATCGGTTCATAGAGCCTTTTTCAATTTAATAATAACGGTGATTAATATATAGACAAATAAAAATTATTAATTTTTTAAACATACATAACTTGCAAGCAAATAATATTAACAATAAAAAGCCAATAGTCAAACAAAATCTTGTCAAATTATAAAATAATTGTGGAACGTAATCTTTTATATCCAACAATAAATATATACAATAAAGCGTTAAGTCGTAAAATCCATAATAACAATTATCAATCACATTAAGTCAATATTTTTGAACAAAAAGAGAGGTTCAATTTTGATGAACAATTTCGTAGTAAAAAGTACTATCGTTGTGAAAAGTACTATCAAAAATAAATTTATAACTTTACAACTTTTTTTGTCTGTTATTATTGGCGAATCTCAAGGATAACTGTGATGTATACGATTTTAGAATATTAAATGTTTTTTAAACATATTAAATCTAAAACTGCTCGTATTTAATTTTTTATTCTATATTATTATTTTACAATTAGCAAGAGTTCTGTATTTTGTTTAAAGTACAAAATTATAAGAAAAAGTTAGAAGTTTATAATTATTTAAAATTTAAATTACAAATTTCTATCTGTTTCTTACGTTCATATGTTTCTTTATCATATTTTATTTACAATATCTTCTTATGTAAATGTTATATAATCTAACCCATTAATTTTTTATTCCACTCTCCCTTATTTAAATAAATAATTAGCGATAATATGTTTCTGTTTGCGAAATTATATTCTTATATATTCTACCAATATATAAAGAGAATTAATATTGAATAAATTTATATTTCTTACATATATTAAACATATATTATACATTATATTATATATTTGTCAAAATAAAAGTGTGTTTAAAATATTTAAAACAATTTATGTGATACATTCGATTTCGTATCAAATATTATACTATATTATTATCATCGATTGACGATTACTTATATTAATCAACGTTGTAAATTACAGATTTATAAAATCAAGAAAAAATATTAAAATCAAGAAAAAAAAATTAAATTAACTGTGAATGTAATTTAAATTTTTAATATTTATTACTTCCAATTATTACATAACGTTCAATAAAGTATACTTACTGGATACGATATTCACACATATATACATATAATGAATTTATAATAAAATATTTCGTGAAGAAGGTAGTTTTGCTTGGAGCAATAAAGTGGTACTAATTGACAGACATCTAGATAGGTTTAGAGAAGCTTAATATTGGCTGAGATACAATTAATATAATGGAAAACAGGGAACAGAGAATAAGAATTTCAACCTATCAAGAATCATATACTATGGAATACAGTTTCTGATAGGTTAAAAATTTTATTCTTTGTTCTCTGTTTCTTATTCCCTACTCCTTTGATTGTGCGTAGCTTTGAGAGTAAACGTGCGTTTTAGATGGAACTGCCGCGTTGTTACAAGCGCCTCTATGTGCACATTGAACTACGTCCATAGATATTTTCGTCGGGTAACAGTCTTCGGTTTTGTTCTGTGTTACGTTTGGTTTTATTCTGTGCTATATTCATATATATTTATTATAATATATAACAATGCATTATAAAAATAATAACTAAGGAATAAAATAACTTAAGCTATAAAAAACGCAGCAGATAGGACTAAATATAATGTCAGTGCTTATATATTTATTATAGAAAAATATATAAGCAGTGATCTAACTATTTAAACTTTATGTTTTTGATTAAATATTATTGCAATAAAAACTTTGACTAAATTTAATACATTGAGAGAAAAAAATTGTTGCAAATATGTAATATATTGTTTTAACTTGTAGTTAATTTTTTAGAGCTATATATATGTTTATAGTTGTTTCAACCAATGCAAATATAATAAATTATGCTGTCAATAATACACTCATACTGCTTAAAAATCTTTAGTTTGTTCCTTTTTTAAATTAAAAAATATGTTCCTTTTTTCAATAACACTCTTCAGTTATATTCTTTTTTACAACAAAACACATACACATCAAATCACTTTAATATCTATTCATTTAAAAAATATAATATATCAATTTACGGTCGGTACAAAAATTAGTTAGTTTAAAAAATATAACATTGATTTTTGCTTAAGATTAATATTGCGATGTAGTTACGGTAACGTCCGTTTCGACTTTTAGTTGAGCGAATGCTTTCTAACATCTCTTTATTCTGTGCTCCAGATTGTGATTGCCCGTTTTCACATGACTCGAGCCTCGAGGTTTTTGACAGACACGCACTGGCAATACAGTTGCGTAGAGTTGTGCAGTGATAGCTCTATCTACATGTTACAAGATATCCACAAAACGATGATTTGATTGTTAATATCAAAGATAAAAGTGGAATTATTGTACATTGTGAACGTTATATGTAATCGATTTTATCGTTTCATTTGTGAAGCAGACTTTTGTAGTAATTGCGACGACATGTCTGATTATTTCGCGGAGATGGGCTGGACGCCTCTGAATGACGGAGAAGCGCCGAATCATTTAATTCAAATGGCACGATTCCTGCGGGATTTTGGCATGTGGGACTTGGTCGGGCAAGATACAGAACTTCCACCGCCAGCGTCGAAGGACGCTCTGGCTAATTTGCCTGAAATTAAAATTGAATCCAGTGAAAATAAACAGTGCCCCGTTTGCCTGAAAGAATTCGAGACAGGCAGTAAAGCAAAATCGATGCCTTGTCAGCATGTATTTCACCAAGAATGTATAATACCATGGTTAGAAAAGGTAGGATCGATTGAGTGAACATGCACAAAAATAATACAAATTGCGTCGCATTGTTAAAAATAATAATTACAATCAGAATTGTAATACATAAAGCACATTTAATTGTTACGTATTAAATATTTACAATTCTGTATTTTCAGACTAACTCGTGTCCACTCTGTCGATACGAATTGCCAACAGATGATGAAGACTACGAAATGTACAGGAAAGAAAAGAAACGAGCGGTAGAAAGAGAGAAGGACTTGGAATCATTGCATAATTCTATGTTTACGTAATAAATGTGTGATATTTATTAAAAAATTATCTTTTACTTTATATTATATATACCTAAGTTAAAAAATATCATTATTGAAAATGTTCATATTCTCATTAGCTAGAGTCTCAAATTGTAGTAACTAGAAAGCTAGTTAGCGATTGTATAATTATTATGTTATATATCGATAAGACTTATATATTTATTTATAAAAAAAAATGTATCTCGTAATCAAAAAATATGTAAAAAAAATATATAAAGCATATATTTTGTATAATATATGATTTGGAGCACAAGGTATCGTGCGCTTTTCGTTTGTGCTGGAAAAAAATGTGATTGAATAAAAAGACATGAATTATTAATAGGAAATAATGTTTATTATACAGTGTACATATTAACTTCATTTATTTTTATTTCTGTTATAAATTTTATATTAATAATTGTATTATGTTTTTTTGCCGAGCGACGAATGCCTTGATCAGTGTGCGCTTAGACTATAACAATCTCCGTAAAAAGTATAGAAACTTCTGATTTTTATTTTGTTCGTTTGGTTTACTCTTTTATTCCTCTTTCTCTCCCTCTCTCCGATTTCTTCTTCTTTCACGCTATTTCTCATTCTTTCTCTTTCTCTCCATTTCTTTCTCTCCCTCTCTTTCTCTCATTTCTCTCGTTCGCTCGCTCATTCTCTCACTCTCTCTCGCTTTCGCTCTGTCTCTTTCTCACCGAAACACGATCGCTATGAACCATATCACCAAAGAGAATTGCCAAAATATGTTGCGCTGAAAACGGCATAATCGTTCGGCATATATAAATAATATTACTCGAAGTTAAAGTAATTGGCGGTTTATTCATTATCCTTTTTTTTTTCACTTTCGTTCACTCAAATCGGTGACGACATTCCGAAAAAAAAAAACGACGCACCGCCGCCGTCGCGCCCACGTGGTTGCGACCCTTTCGTAGTTTTTTCCCCCCTTTCCCACTTCCCTCCCCCCTCGCAATACTTCACCCTAGAGGGGGTTAGTATGTTATCAATTATTTATATATAATATGCGTAATAATAATATAAATAATGTCGTTAATATATCTATGATGATTACCGTTTTTTAATGATAAACTATCTTGAATGATACATTTCTCTGCTAATGACCATGTCCGTAATAGCTAGTTATGTAATCTGTATGCGAGCTTCAAGTGGGATAAGGTACGTCGTACAGAACTTTCGGCTCGGCATTCACATAAGATAAAACGAACGGTGAAACAAATCGTTAAAGTTACGTTCGAATACGGGAACACGTCCGTGGCGCGTAAATGCAAACGTCGGGAGACCCTTTTCCGTCCATCGATACATGGTTTCAGATTCGACACGACGTCGTCTCAGAATCCATTTTCGTCGATTTAACGTAATATATCATCTCAACAGAAATATATATGAAGGACAGATTTATATAGATCAATGATATTTAACGTTTTCTTTTCTTTTTATCATAAACTTGCCCATTTCGTATCTCATGATTTTTGACGAAATGTAGATATCCACGACGTTCGCTAAAAAATATTAGTCCTTTATATACGTCCCCGTGTTCTACCATGATATAGAAATGTACGACGTAAATTTTTTTCATGTCACTTATAGACTTCTCGTCGAACGCGTGGATTATTCCATTTTCTCGCTTGCATCAAATGTATGTATCTAGCTTCCTAACGTAAGTGTTAAGTGTAATTACTTTTATTTTTTTTATATAATGCATTAGCTTCTTTTTCTCGTTATAATAATAATCGTCATTCCATAATAATCATAATCAATAACCATAATAATAGCAATAATAATAATATTAACCATCATCATCGTCGCGATCATAAGTCCCGATGATGCTGTTAATTCGTCCATATCGATATATATATATTTATATGTATATATATATATGTATATTATATATATTATATTTTATATTACACGTTCCTTATGAAAATAATAATTCAAAATGGCATATCTTCCGTTCGCTATTCCCATTCCTGCATCGCGCCCCTCGCGCCTCCATCCCTCGTTCACCTTCTCGTATTCTACTTCTCGCCCTCGATAAAGTGACTTTATAAATAACTATTTATTCTATAGGCGTCGGCAGAATTTCTCGACATTTCGCTGTGCGGTAAATAGTCCGTCATAATTTGCAATACATGCCTTTTCTAATGTATTTATTCTTCGTAAATGTCTATACACGTCACATTGCAATTCTCGTTTCGACGAAAAATTCTGCCGTTGAGAGCTTCAGCGAATCTTCGGAGATATCGATCGAACGCAAGCGCTCGTTCCTCTTTCACTCTTCGCTATAAAATTACAACTTCATCCTCGCGGCATTCAATGCCACCGGCACTGCGATATCCTCGTGTAGCAATACGAACTTATATCGGAATGTCTTTCAATTCATTTCACGTACCATCATGTGTGATATCGTACTCTTGCATGTAGTTACTTTCTAGGCTCATTTTCGTATATAATATATATTACATGTCAATGGAGCTTACGATTCTCAATCTTAAGAATAATTGAGTTTCAAGAAAAATGCACGGACAAAAATACTGCTAATCTAACGCTAAATGTTGCACTCTAGCATCTCTGATAGTTACATATTATTCGTTCGTATGTAGCATGGTGGTACAATCCGATATAATGGCAATGTACAATATCTCTGATAATCGGCAATTTATAGCAGTGTCGGCGACATCATGTTTTTTTTAACACTGACAGAGGAACGTACTTTCGGTGTAACATCTTTCGTTTCTCCGCAACACCCGCAAGCCATTGTACATACTTTTCTCTCTCTCTCTCTCTCTCTTATTTCCTCTCTAAACGCATACATGCTACTAGTAATATTATTATCACGCGTGGTCTCATTGTTCTGCGCGCCACTCTAAGCTCAACACGCTGATATGCTAATAACGCTCAGTCACATCTTGCGCAACTACCATTTTATCGATTATTTTGATCTACATGGCATCGGTCGTTTATCTTTTCGGCATACGCTCGCAACCGAATCGAATTTGTTAAATTTTGCGAACGGTTGTCGTCTTTCCACACGCATGTTTTGTGAAGTTTCACTTTTTTTTTTTACGTCCGATCCAGTCGTCCGATTTTACAATTCATCACGAAATAATTATAATAATCGCCATTGGCCGGATATTAATATTATTATATTTGTAATAATAATTTGCAGTAATAGCGACAGTAGCATTGATAATAATAATAGTAATTAAACAATAATAATCTTAATGGTAATAGCAATAAATCAACCAACGTCTATTTACTCAATCAACTCGTAAATTTTTCACACTCGTTTATAACGCATTACCGTCAAATATTAATATTATTTCACTCGTAATAAATAATTGTTGTAATGCGTTCATAGCATTGCTAACTAGAAAACTACTTCCTTCTTTAACATATCCCGTTTTGTACCAGAATACATTATTGTATTAAAATAAAAAAACTAATCTATATGTATATAGTTGCGTGTATAAAACTTATAAAGGCATCTTTTTTTATGCCTTGCCGTAAACGTCGTCAAAACAGCCGAATAATAAAATAATAATATATTTCGACTAGAAACAATTAAGCTATTAATGCACATTCCCTGCATTATCATTGGCGAGAATTATTCTTAAACGATAAAAATAAAAAACCCAACATGGATTTAATTCGGGAGCGTGCCCAGTGTTCTCGCGCTACTTCTTTCTCACCTTCTTCTTTTTTTTTGTTTTTCTCTTTACGCCGTATTACGCGTTTCGGTCCGATTTGTCATCTGATTTGAAGATGCGAGCGTAGCGATCGTAAATTATTTCAATTATTATTCCGTGGGGCACGGTCTCTCTTTCTCTCTCATTTCGAGGGTCATACCTGCGAGGGCGAGATTCATCATGAAGGGGAAAAGGGGCGATGCACCGCCATCATCAAGCGCCTGGCCTGCTCTGTGCGAACGTTTTATTATTTTCATACACTATATCATAGTTAATACTTCCGCTAGGACATTACGTGTGCACCGGCATGTACGTACACCCTGTGCTATGTTGTAGTTTTCCTATGTACAGATATCTTCTTCCGACTTACTGTGACGAGTATCGTGGCGCGTTCTCGGGATGGTCGAAAGACCTTAATTTTTTTCATTCACTTCCGGTTTCAATTGTCGGCATGTACGGCTGATTTCAATCACGCTTATTTACGCTTTCGACGATCCCGATCGCCCCGAAAGTCGCCCCGAGTCTGATCGAGGAAAAACTCGTACTGTTATGTCGGGGTTTGATTATACTACGCAACGTTCTCGGGCCCCAAGCGCGAAAGTGCGAAACTCGGGGCCGCCGATTACAAAATTTTATTGTATGCCACGCCGAAATCAACAATAAAACTGATCTCATCCCTTACGACCTGCATATCTTTCTCCCTCAAGGCTCAACGATACTTATCGTGTTGCGCCCAAGTGTGCGTATGTATATGTGTACATGTGTATGAGTTATGCGTATCAAATTTATGTTTTAGTTCATGTGTGTATGTGTTTGTGTATATATGTGTGCATGTATACTCGTGTCTATATGCTAATCGCGTACTTCTTCTTTTTTATATATACTCGACTCTCACCCGCGCCTTTTCCCGTCGACTCTCAATTTCGCTTCCCTATATTCAATATGTAAAAATATACAGGTTAGGTATTATATAGTCGTAAGTACAGTTAAAAAATTCTACACTTTTAGTCTCGAGTACGGGATGCAGTCGGATCGCCCTCAGAATGATCTATGGCGGTCGAAAGCAAATCCAAATCCGAGAACGCAAGTGAAACGCCATCGTAACTCGAAATCGTCGATCGGACATGCCGCGTGTAAGGAGAGTGTGTAACGAAGAATAAACGCAGTTGCGAACGCCTGTTTCCTCTCTTTGTCAAGCACAATAAAAAATAAAAAGGGAATATGTATATATAAGTATCAATAGTATATCACGCATCTTCACGTTTCGTCTGGATAAAGCACCGACCGTAA